AGCTTCCGCAGTCCTTCTGGAGCGTGCATTTAGCACCATCAAGGTTGCCGGTCTTAGCAGGCTATTAATGTGAGCTCGTTCTGAGCATGCGCTCTAAACAGCACCCACAAATATGGCGCCCAGTGAGTACTCCTTATAGGGAGTATTCACTGGCGGCCATATCCGTGTGCGCTGCTGCTGAGCGCGTGCTGACGGCGAGCTTCCGCAGTCCTTCTGGAGCGTGCATTTAGCACCATCAAGGTTGCCGGTCTTAGCAGGCTATTAATGTGAGCTCGTTCTGAGCATGCGCTCTAAACAGCACCCACAGATATGGCGCCCAGTGAGTACTCCTTATAGGGAGTATTCACTGGCGGCCATATCCGTGTGCGCTGCTGCTGAGCGCGTGCTGACGGCGAGCTTCCGCAGTCCTTCTGGAGCGTGCATTTAGCACCACCAAGGTTGCCGGTCTTAGCAGGCTATTAATGTGAGCTCGTTCTGAGCATGCGCTCTAAACAGCACCCACAAATATGGCGTCCAGTGAATAGCTCCTATAGGGTACTGCGAAGTGTAGGCTTTGAAAAAGGACCCCACTTTGGGGAGCTGTGTCTTCTTTCTCAGTCAAATAATGCAACGTGTTTTTGAAATGAATGCCGAAATAGAGTATGACAGAGTACCCAAATTAAAAAAAAAAAAATCGAAGGTGGTGTTTTTTTTTTTTTTTTTTGTTCGCATCGGAATTTTTTTGTTGTTTAAGTTTTTTCCCATGTTTGCCTAAATCTATCCCGACTATCGTATCACACAGATACCTTATTTATTTTTAAATAATAGCCATATATAAGCAGAATACTACCTGCAAATTATACACGAACTCATCTCTGTTACGTCACGCCGCGGTGGTGGCGCGTCGGACGCACTTCCGGTCCGGGGCTGTGGGCGGAAGTGCCCATGTGAGACGTGTATTCCTGCGTTGTTTTGAAAGGAACCAGACAAAAACCTGCCTTCTCGGCAAAATGTTGCGACTGGGCCTGTACCAACGTGTCGAGAAAGATTTGAAGGTCAATTTTCATGCGCTCGGTTCGTCCGAGAACGTGGATATGTGCCGTGAAAAAGTAAAACCAGACGCCGTCGGACCTAGATTGCTTGGGCGGGAAGCATTTTGGGCTGAATTCACGGATACTTCTGGTCATCAAATTTATTTGTTTTGTTCCAAACTGAGCGCCGGAAAATCGTCAAGTTGTACGGACCACCTGCGGACTACGTTCAGTGCGTCTTCAAGTTCAAACGGCCGCCTGATCGTTCTAACTGTCGTCCGCTCTTTCAAACATTTCTGCTTGTCGTCTGCTCTTTTAGAGGACCGGCCCGTAGACCAAACGTGGGCCTGGTACTTGCGATAAGAAGTAAGTGCAGGCCTCAAAAGACTTAAGTTTGAAGGTTGGTAAGCAGGCTGGACGTAAACAGTAGATACAAGAAGATGTTGATCATTGTTACCAGTGGCCATCACCGACTTGTTATGCCTGATTCACATGGTTAGATTTTGCTTGCGATCTTCAGTATCGACGTCGGCATCTCAGCTACGGTTCACGCTTTTGTAGTCCGAGCGACGTCGCTACTGAAAATTGCGAGTGAAATCTCATCATGTGAATCAGGCTTTAGCGTACATTCTGCGGCGTCCACGCGGAATGAATCGCCGCATGCGGCATGTCAGATGATTTACGCGAAGTTTTGCGGTGTAACGAGCCTCGGTAATTTCGCTCACGCCGCTCAAGTAGTCAAGCATCATTAGGGGAACGTAGAATCAACAATTCCAACGCCAAAAAGAGCGCGGGGACTCACACCGACGCCGACAACATCGCATTTCCATGGTTTGTTTATGGGCGACGGCGAGCTTCTTGCCCACACCCCCATCGCGCATGCACGGCGCCGGTTGCGTCCGCTAGGGAGGCTCCGGGCGCTCCGGTTTGTTTGTAAACATGAGTTGGTGTATATAACAATGATTAAATTTTTTCATGAGATACAGGCCTCCAAATTTTGCCATTTGTCGTTCGAGCAGGCATGTTTGGCAATTTTTAGAAAAAGTAAATAAAATTTAAATAAGAAATATTACTTTATATTACAAGCAAACTGTACCCATAGTTTGTTTCAAGAAGTATTAGATTTCTTCTGACTTTATCCTCTTAGTTGTTCACTTTCGAATGTGCCCCCTCCATCAGTGTGCTTTAATGCAACTGGCCACCTCTTCATGCCTTGTGATTTTTCCTGTCCCCAAATTTTTTTTCTGGTCAAAGGGTTTGTTTATGCGAGACACTAGACAATGGCATATAAAAACCTCAGTTGATTTAAAAAATGTCGACCAGCTACCCTTTGGTCGATCTTATCTGAAATCAACCATTGGCAGCCTCGCTGTAAAAAAAGAAAATAATAATATGTGTGTTACGCTGCTATATTAGAACAACGTCCTCCCACAATGCCCTATTTTCACTCCAGCGGAGCGAATGCTGGAAAGAAGGGGAGAGGAGGTGAATAAACAACCAATCACAGCGAGCAGAGAGCTTTATGGGAGGGGCTTGTCTCTCTATCTTAAACCTACAACAGTTTACAGATGAGGCAACATTAACAGCGATAAAGTAGTCCAGGTATTATATGTCGATAACTATATATGGACCTAAATTTGGTTCAGTATTTATATGATCCATTAAAAATGTACAACAAGGGTAAACAAAAATCATAACCTTTAAAAAGAACAACAACTGATTTCTTTGATTTACATCACAATAATTTGGTGTAAAGCACAACTCTAAACAAATTATTTCTAATCACTAGATGTATTTTCCAATATAGCAGACTGATCGATCAGTACGTCCAATTACTGAAAACAATCCTTAAAAAAAAAAAAAGAATTAATGTAAATGTGGAATACAGTTTAATTTAAGAAGTCGCAAAAGGCTTGAAAACCGGTCTGGTCTCTCTCGGCCTTACTCGGTCGCAAAAGTGTGAACAGCGCCTTAAAGCTTCTTGAGACTGGGGAAGGGCATAGTTAAAACAAAAAAAGGACAGAAAAAAAAAAAAAAAAAAAAAAAAAAGACATGCAGTGCGTCCATTTTGGAAGGATTACTGATACAAATCCGACGAACACTGTTGACCCGGTTGACCTCCAGTCTCAGGGTTTGTAGTTGGTTATTCAAAGAACAACATATTCGCCCGTGTTTGTCTTCTTTCTTGTGTACGTCTTTTTTAGCGCTTTTAACCATGGTTCGATTCAGTCAACACCAACTAGCCCAACAACAAGTTCTTTTAACAACATGTTAATTGCTACCCTTTAAACGCCATTGAATTGCCACTGGAGCAACCAGAAATGCATCATTTATCAAGATTGAGGGAAAAAACAACAACAAAAAACTTTTGCTTTTTTTCGGACACGGCACCTCGACCCGCACAAAACAAAAAGCTGAGAGGAAAAGGGGGTCTTTTCTTATTTTATTTATTTATTTATTATGTTTTAGAACATTTCTACGAGACCGGCCCGCCTTTTACTAGGGCCTACCGCGTTGCCTCCCTGCCTCTACAGTTGTCTCTAGGGTTTTTCTCACGGTGCGCTCGCCCCTCTGCTATTCCCCACCGCCCTCCCATCGGCTTTATTTTTGCCATTTTGGTCCCCTCGTTTCATTGGTCATACTTTTCTTTTTTCTTCTTTCTTCTCCCCAGTCCTCGAGTGGAAAGGGAAAGGCAGCATACGCTTTGTCCCGCATCGCCCCTGCGCTGGGTTATTCAATACCGTGAGACATATCCGCGTCAAGTGTTCACGACTTCCAAAGGAAAGTAACAACATTTATAAAGCTCGCGAACAGTAAACACGCTGACGAGTCAGACATACCCCCCCTTTTTTTTTCTTCTCATTTTCTATTTATTTTTGTGCGTGTGTCTGTGCAATAACACATACACACACAAAAAAAGCGTGTATTTGTGTATTGAATCTGTTACCGCAAACACGTCGGCACTTTTCCGTATTTTACATAAAAAAAAGTATCTGGTGAGGGCCAAAATTTTCTTCCTTTTTTACGAGAACCTTTCGATTGTATTGTAAGCGAAAATACAAATAAAAACAGGCGACTGCTTGTTCATAAGATGTTTGGACGGACATGCAACTTCTTATATATCACATTTCCATTTTTTTTTTTTTTTTTTTTTTTGTGAAGCGTTTGAACAATCTAGTGTTGAAAGCCATTGTGTACATAGTAAAGTTGACTGACAGAGGAAAAATAGTTCCCGAACGTCGCAAGTAAATTATTACTTTTACCGCGCAAAAAACGCGCCTCGAACGCAATGCTGTCGGTGGCGCCACCTATCCAACAGAATGTACAATAAAAGTGCAATGAGGCGCCGTCCTTGATGTTTGATATACGTTAACTTCGAGAGATGGCGCAAACATCGGAGAACCTCGAAACAAGATTTCTCGGTCGACTCAGCATCCCAGCTTGCAGGCTTGGAATTTTATCGTTTTATGGAACCAACTTCCATGCGTAACGACCCATGCAGCAGTCTTCATCGGTCATCTAAAGTACGCTAACGCCTCCAAAGACGCTATAAGGACACCGTGATTCCGGCGTTCTGCCAGCGCCAGTGGGCACAAGCGCAATAGAACTAATAAAACGAACGAAATGAAATGCATAGTCTACTCCCACTTATGCATTTTTATCTCTAGATTGCGACATTGGCAGACTGGCTGGTGCCTCGATTCCGGCGATCGCCCTCGCATAAAATGCACCCACTCGATCGCCCAGCCTCGCGCCAGTAAAACCTACCGTTGTTCGCAAATTTCAATCCGCAACTATAATTTTTAATCCGCTACGCTAATAATCTTCCAATAAAAACCAAAGGACTGTGCATTCAAAAAAAAAAAAAATAATACGGAGTTTTATATACATCGTACGTAGCATCATTAACGTTTTAGTTAATTTTTCTTTACGTTTACACTTGGTTCCCTTCGTGAATTATTAACGAGACAGCGGTGACATTTAATATGAAACTGCAGGACGGCGCGCCATCCAGCGGCGTGCGTCAGCATCGCTCGCATGGTGGTGGGTAGTTTTCTCCCCTGCTGATCAGGGTGGTGGTAGGTTTTTGTGTATTGTGCGCTCCTTGGTTCTCGGGCAGTTTTCGTGCAAAGTGAATGCGACCGTCGCAGGATCGTCTTTTTATGCGCTGGTGAACGGCGGAGAGGCAAGTCTGCTTGCACAAGCTCGTGTGGAGGCGCGCAGGCGCCGGAAGGTTTGCTGTTGGGTGTGAAAAAGACCGAGGCGCCGCGACGACTCCTCGACCGAGAGGAGTGGTGGTAAAGACCTTCGTTGGGGTGCTGCTGCAACAATGACGGAATACAAACTAGTGGTTGTCGGCGGTGAGTGCAAACTTTTCCCCCGTCCATCTTTCGCGAAAGATCTCTGCGAATCGCCAAGCACTACAAGCGGAGCGGTCGAAAAAAAAGGAAAAGTTCTTGTATCTTGTGGGAGAGCGTCGAAGGCCTCGCTTTCCAACTAGCAAACAAAAAGAAAAGATGGCGGCCGCCACCCAAACAAAAATGCTACACTACAAGCGCTACCTCCCAACTTTCTTGTTTCATTTCTCTTTTTGTTTGTTTGTTTACGTCGTTAGGGTTAGGAGTAGGCTTAACCAGCGCCGGATTGCTTTTGGAGTGTTTCGGCGACAGTGCATGAGTCATGCGTGCATTCATAGTAGGTTTTTTTACCTTGTCCTCGCGCGCCCTAATCGTCTGTAACCCCGTACAACGCGGCGGATACATAGTTTTGACTTGAACGTCGCATGCCCTTTGTCTTTTTTTTTTTTTTTTTGTCTCCCAAAATTTGTTGCCTTTTTCCCTCTCCCATCCAAATCAGAGACCTTAGAGATCGTAGCGCCCCCTACAGGTGTTAGCGGGTTTAATGTTTCGGAGACAAGACATTTCCGTTCAGTTTTCATTGTTTCAAATTGATTCGTCTACAGCACGCGGACGCTAGTTCATTGAACCCTCAGCAGTTTAAAGACTCGGGGCCAACTCTCGCCAAGGTTTTTGCTGTGTAAACATCAGCGGATTAAAAAGCGACGCGTTTTGGAGTGGCAGGTGTTCCTCGCATAACCTCGTAGCAGCCGACATTTTTTTTTTTTTTTATGTGAAATTTTTAAGTTAATTTTTACCGTTCGTTTGATGATTTTTTTTTTTTTGTTTTCAACTGGCGGGATTTTTTTTTTTTTTTTTTAAATTGCAATAAGTGTTTTTTCTTTGTTACAGCTGGAGGCGTCGGCAAGAGTGCCTTGACAATACAACTCATACAAAATCAGTGAGTGTTCCCTTGTCGCGTTTGCTGCGTCAGATGCTCCCTGGTTTGTAGCATACATATATTTGGTCTCTAGTAAAAAGGTTGGGCAATTGCTGCAACTAGTGGTGGTATAACTTTTGGCTTTATTTTAAATGTCTGGTTTGTGTGACCGGTTTACAATTAATTTTTTGTTTGCTAGCGCTATAGGCTCCTTGCACTGAGGTCACATCGCATACTTTTGAACACCATGTAAAAGGAGGAGAGGGCAGCTGCTTTTGTAAGCATTTTGAGTGACAGGTTAATCTTTATAATCTGGGAGGAGAACAGCATGTCTGTGCTTATCCGGGAGGAACAAAGGAGGATCCGGATAAGAGTGGAGGTCCTTCTTCCCCTTTTCTCTAGAGGGCATCGGTAATAATAATAATAATAATAATAATAATCATCATGTTTATTTGCTCAGGAGAGCCGCGGCACCGCAGAAAGGCAACAGCCCGTACCAAGGAGGCCCGCGGTGCCGCGTCTAGTGAAGAGGATTATGTGATGATGTAATATACAAGATGAAAGTTCTGATGATTAGGATATGTGTGTTAGGCCTAACAGCATTCTTCGCGGTTGTGGTCTTTGCGGTGCTGCCGTTGGCTGCTTACTTCTAGCAGGCCGGTCTCAAGCACCTGGAGTGGGCTCCTCGCGTGTCCGACTTGCATAGTAGCCAGCCGAATTACCGGCGACGCAGGGAATTCATCACCCCCGCGGGCGGGCTCCAGGAATTGGCGCCAGTGTTGGCCGAGCGGCGGTCTTTACGAAAGCGGGCCTTGGAGTCTTTCAGCTTGCGGTCCAGCTTGCAACTGAGTAGCCTGAGCACCATGTCGATTGAAGACATGGTCTGTGCCACTGGTCCGGCTGGCTTTCGGACGGTCGAAAAGACACGTCTTACGCCCAGTTGGCTTCTTCTTCCTTCAGATGAACGCAACGTCCCTCCAGGCTGTTGTCATGTTGTCATGTGCAAGCCGCGTTGTATACATGGATTGTATTGACGTCAGGTCAGCCGCCATTGCTCCCTCCGTACCATGTTCCAGTGCTCGTACCTTCTGCGGCGTACCTTTGGCACTATTGATTTCATTAGTCTCTGGAAGGCTTGCAAAGAACAACAAATTCGATTTTGCGAAATGTATGCTACAGAAGGCACGGGAGCGTGGTATGGAGTAGTGGTGGCTGGTACGGTGCCATAGGAGTCACATGCAAGGCATGTACTAGTTTTTTTTTACTAGTCACAAAGATGGAGGGTAGGCATTTATCCCTAATGTAGTTTTCGCACTTGGTGTGCTGCTCAGGCATAGTTTTAAACAAAATTTGGGTATTTGGGTGCACATTCTCAGTGTGACGAAAGGAAATGACATATATTAGGGAATAGTTTCTTAAAAACTTGGGATAACAAGACGATCCTTGACTGGAAGGTCCACAGCATATAAAATAAAAGATGAATAAAAAAAGATGGCAGAAGGTTGAAAAGACGGAATTGGAAAGGATCGCACGTCAGCTGCACATTGTCTTTAATTGAACATGTACCGTGCAGTAGTTCTAGAAATAACTTCTCATGCAGCCCTGCATACAGTAACCACTTTGTCCTTTCGATTTCAGCTTTGTGGACGAATATGACCCAACAATAGGCAAGTCTTCAACCTTTATTTTTTGTCTCGGTGCACACACCTGAACTATTCTCACACAGTTTGTAACTAAAATGCCAGATCGCTAGCACTGCTCCAGATCAGTCGCACATAGCCAGTTTTATGCGACTCGAATTGGTGCACGCAGGGTGAACTCTGGGTTTTGGAAGGGGTCTTTCGAGCTCGAGTTGTTAACTCCTCTAGCGGGACGGGACCATAGACGCACCGTTTCACGACGTAGACGGGACTGTAGACATACCATTTGACGACGCGGTCCAGGCATATTAGCGAGTAGTATCTCGATTGAGAGACGCGCCATCGTTGGACCCAGTTTGGCGCGCGTGGGTCGCCACTCGTCGTCCGTCCCGTGAGTGCCGAATGGCGTCTCGATTTTGCGCAGAGGACTCCTACCGGAAGCAAGTTGTCATAGATGGCGAGACGTGCTTGCTGGACATCCTCGACACGGCGGGTCAAGAGGAGTACAGGTGAGCTTGCGGATGTTGCACCTCCGCGTGCCGGAGTTGCGAGTCGATGCAGCACCGAAACGGGCAGCCGTTCGCTTTGAAGGGAGGGCGGAACGACCTCGAAGTATTGACGCGGAATGTGTTGTGGGGCTGGGTTCCTAGAGAGAAGGGACGCACCATGCTTGACCGACACACTGGTCAAGGTCGTTGGGCAGTGTCGAGTAACATAATGTTATCTTACATTACGAGGTCCCATGGCTCTGACGTTACGGCACTTTGTGTGAATGGAGCAACAACACATTCGATGCGCTGTAACGGGTACTCTTTTGGAGAGCACTGTTTACCGAAGCGTGTCCAGAGAAAGCAACAACGTGGATGGCGCCGCGGTGCTTGTACCATCGAGTTATTTTATCGGCCGTCGCTTGCGTTTTGCCGTGGCGCTGTTGGAGCTTACCATAGTTGCCGACAAGTTGAGAATGGCAGGGCGTCTCTTTTCGATGCCTTGCTTCCAGCATGTGCTCGTAAGCTTCCAGCGTGCTTCGGCCGCAGATGTAGGCTTACCATCCTGCAAGCCTACATCTGCCCTAAAAATTGGGAGATGCATGAGCTTTTTCGCTTGCTTTTTCATCAAAGTCTTTGGGAATAGTCGTCTTATGAGGGGGACCGTTGCAATGTTTGACTTTAGGAATGTCGCTAAAATGTGAGTTTGATTAACCTTGTCTCTTTTAAAGCTCACCCAGTTCAATCTCACAACCGCGCCATGTTCTCGTCCATTTTTCCTCAGTGCCATGCGTGATCAGTACATGCGGACGGGGGAAGGTTTCCTGCTAGTGTTTGCGGTGAACAACAACAAATCCTTCGAGGACATCAGCATGTACAGGGAGCAGGTAAGCAATGACTGCATTCCACTCCGTTTCGTCATTTGTGTTGCTCAGGGCCGAAGCTACGGGACAGTGGACTTTTTCCAAAAGCGCATCCGGTAACATGGGTAGTTGTCGTGTTTTAGTCACTGCTTCCAAAGTGTGGCGTGTAAATGAACCTGAGCCGTTGTGACGATTGAAACACTATCCAACCTGAGCTACAACGCAGTACTCGTTTCCGATAGGAGCCGAATGTGCACGACTGAGATGTGGTGTGCTCAATTGCTTGGACTAGTGGGTGCTAAATAACGTGCACATTTGTGTCTGGCCTATTGCATACGCGAACAATGCACAAAAGAGGTTTTCCACTCTGTTTCTTTTTGGTACTTTAACTAGATGTGCGCCTCGTGGATTGCAAAGAAACATTCTCAGATAAAACGTTCTTCGCCGTGCTATGTTGACATGGCAGGAAGCCAGGAGCCACGACTCAGTCTTGTAAACGGGAAGCGTGCAGGGGAAAGGCGACTAGACGTCTACGCGACATTTGCTATTCCAGTTGAACTGCGATTTACAGTCTGGACAAAACTGAACAGACACTTGGGTCTTACAATCCAGCTTTCAATTCTAGTTTGAGCCCATTGTTGTCTACACGGACCAAATGTTACACTCCGTTCCACGATAACTTGGCGAACTGTGGAGACTAGGGCCTCGCGACCCAACAAATCTAACAGCGAGGCACGTAAGCTGACGTCATGGGAGCATTTGTGTCACCACGCCAAATGCGAGGCCCGGAGGAACCAGTTCTCGTCTGCTAGCCAAAAGTCGTCTGCTCCGAAACCAACCAACTTTAGATTAAACGTGCACCGCAGCAACATATGCGTCCGCTAGAATAGCGAGCACTTCGGGAACAGTACGTGAGACAACCATACGCTTAGTTTAGCTGCGGGGCTGTGACGGGTGCTAATGCCAGGGCACAGCGCAATCTTTTAAGCGGAAACGGCCGATTACACGGCTGCGATCGCGGGTGATTATCAACGGCCATGGTGGTACAAGGCGAGAAAAATCGAGCGGGTACGGATGTGGCGTCGCTTTTTTGCTTCAGATATAATTGAAACTTGTAGATTTGTGATTATTTATTCTTTATGCTTCATATCTTCTCGTTATAGATGGAATCATGCGAGTTCAATTTCCATTTAAAGAAAAAGAAGCCTAGAACTACTTTTTGTCGCGGAGGGCTCTGTTGCTATGGCGGTAATGAGGCCCCGGTGGCCTCAATAAGGGTGCCTTCCTCCGGCTTCCTTATTGGGTTGGCGGGGTCCACAGCCTCCACAGTTTGTGAAGTTATTGTGAAACAGAATATAGGCTGGCACACCTCGGCCTTTTTGAGAGAGATTAAGCTGGGATGTGCCTTCATTCAATGTTTAAAATTGTAGTTTTCTTTTTTTCATGTGATACATTTTTTGGTTAGGTGTTCGGCATTTCATGAAGCCCAGATAAAAGCGTGGCTGCAAGGCTCGACACTGATTGGTTGACAAGTGGAGGAGGAGAGGCGCTTGACGCTGATTAGTTAACGGTGTTATGTGACTGGAGGAGTAGGCTAGGAGGTATGTGGTAGAAGAGGAGGAGCTCGAGAGTATGGAAGGCTCTGGAAGGTCGCCAGGTTTACCAGCTCGGTTAGCGGTAGTATCGCTTTACACTAGGAACAACTATCAAGCATACACATGGTACGCGCTAAGCTATCTAATGAAGAGCGCTGTGAACGTGGGCTTCTGGAAATTCAGTGTATCGCTAAATGTTCGTAATGCTAGAACGCTTCATGTATGGAACACAATTGCCTAGCAATTTTTCATAAATTGTTTGAACGACGAAGATTGAGGAACTTACTTTTGTCACATTTGTTCTTTTAAGTTGCATGTTCTTAGGCACGGTGTAACTGACGTGTGCAAGGGATCGCAATGTGTGTTGCATAACCGAGTTCCTGGTTATTATCTTTGCAGATAAAGAGGGTTAAAGATGCTGACGACGTTCCCATGGTTTGTGAGTGTCCTGTTTCTTATCAACGTTTTCTCCTGGGTCACCTTTCATTCTGTTGTCTCAGATGTCTTTATTGTCAAGGTCACTATATCGAACAAGTTCCTGGTTGAATTAGAACAACCAATCTTGCGTCGAAGTTCTTATATCTTAATAGCTTTTAAAAATGCACAATTTTTTTTTTAACAATTTTGTTGGGCAGGCAGTTCGAGGTTATATGGAGGCTTTTGTTTTTGTATGATCGTGTGGAGGGTATTGAGTTTGCCACACGACACCCCAAACTCCAAACTAAAAAAAAAAGATGGCGCGGCTATTATTTCTTTTCCTGTTTCTCTGTTTCTACAACTTGCGGTCCCCCCACTGTTCAATATTCAGCGAGTTGTATTTTTTGCTAAGGGCAAGACTGTCGGTTTGGATAAAGAAACTGGGGAAGTCGAGGTGAAAAAACAATGCGACTCTAATGAATTCACTTCCCGCAAGAAACTGGCTCATGTTAACAGAAGTTTATATCCCATTTCTCACTTTATGGACACGAAGTGTTTGTATCCTGGGCTCTAGTCGGCCAAAATGGAAAAACATAGTCTCTTAACCCTACGTCCCTTGACGTATCACGACGCAACGTCGGACGACACCGTGACTCACGGTGTCGCATCATGGCGTCGTGCGATGTTGCTCGTCATGTGACATCACGGTGTCCCCCCTAAATTTAGCAACCTGCCAAACTTGGCGGGCACGTGACACTTTCTCGTGGTGTCACGTCACGCCTTTGTAGGACGTCCAAAGCTCCAAACACGCTCCGCGTTAAAGACACGCGCGAAGCATACGTGCCGCGAGACACCTAGCACCCGCGCTTCCTGCAACGGGCACCCACCCCTCGATTCCGTAACGTTCGGGAAAACGCTCAAAGGACACATCTTTACGCGTCGTCGACCTAAGGAGTGCCCATCCCCCGGTTTCACACTATCGTCTTCATTATTTTGAGTGGGCGCTTTCTTGGGATTATATGGTGCATACGAAGCAGACGCACTGGAGGCGTGCCCGCAGGTAACTCCGTCGTCCCCCCTTTCGGCGGACGCCGCGTTTCTTGCTCACCGTACGAGCAGCATTGCCGCGGCTCAACGCTTGTCTCGTGGCTTTTGCGTGCAGTGGTGGGCAACAAGTGCGACCTGCCGACGCGTGCCGTGGACATGAAGCAGGCCAGCGAGGTGGCCCGCAACTACGGCATCCCCTTCATCGAGACGAGTGCCAAGACGCGCATGGGCGTGGACGACGCCTTCTACACCCTCGTGCGCGAGATACGCAAGGACGTGAGTTCCCTCGTACTCCGTCCCTCCTCTTCCTGCGACTCTCGAGAACACCGTCTGCGCGCTTGGTTTCGTTTTGCTCCGCCCCCCGAGCAGATTGTGGGCTTCACTGCGAGCTGTCTGGGCCGATCCGAGCCGAGCCGTAGATAGAAAGGCTGGACGGTTTTTGGGGTCGCTCTTACGGACGTCTCGCATTCTGGAGGGAGGGGCCCTTAGAAGGCATCTCTGCCCACCTAATATTTTTTTTTTTTTTTTTGCTGGAAACTTGATTTATGAGGCAAACCACAGTAGAAAGACAGTAGTGCAACCTAAAATCAAAATGTGTTTTTTTTTTTTTTTTTTTGAAGCATTCGTTGAAAATTGTTTGCCAGGAAAGGGGGGGGGGGGGGGGGGGGCATTTTTCATTCTCTTTTCGGCTATGTGGGACGTCAACGCATAATCGAATTTACATTGACATACCAGAATTAGGATTGAAAGAAAAGACACGTCAAACCAATTCCTAAATGTGAAGAAGCCCCGCATTTAGCAGTTCGGGCGACGTTTCTTTTTAATATATTTTGATGTTAACCCCACCAGGCGACCAAACTCTTTTGAATAGGTTTACATTTAAGAACTGTAGGAACGTTCGAGAAATGATGAGTCGTCTGAGACATGTCTTCATTAATAAAAGTGTTGTATACGTGAAATGGATACAGAAGTATCACAAACTCTTTGGTTTCCAGAAACTGAGTGCATGCTTTTGGGGAACGAAGCAATCTGAGCGACTTCCGAGTGTGGTGTCGCGTCTCTGCACTCTTCCCCTGGTTTTTCCTTGCCCGCGTTTTTTCCCTGAAGATGCGCAAGTCTCAAATAATGAATTAAGCTGTGTATTGGCATGCACTTTAATGCTTTACACAAAAGAAAATAACTTTTACGGGTTGTCGGAGTCACTAACGTAAAACACCCCAGGAGGGCAGTACAATAAATAAGCTTAAGAAGATTGTAATGTTTCTTTTAGGGGGAGCCAAATGGATGATTTAAACTTGAGGCTCGGACCCAACGTGTAGTTAACGACCTTTCTTTGCCCGCCCCAAAGGCATTCGGCATTCTACAGGCAAAATGGGGACGGCTGTTGTCGACTTGGGGACGGCTCTCCTTGCGAGGGCGTTCAGCGCTGCCTTGCGGGATTTTCCGGAACGGTCCGTCGGAGCAGTGGCTCTCCCAAACCCTTTTACTGCGTATTGGGTTACTCATTGTGTCCCGCTTTTGTCGCCCCTGCAGCGGGAGTGGAAGGGCAAGGACAAGAAGAGGCACCGCAAGGAAGGGCGCAAGAAACGCTGCTTCATCTTATAGAATGGGTGAGGGCCCCGCTCTGTTGCCTTCCTCGTTGCTCGGGCGTCGTGCTGGGAAAGAGCTCCCAACCGGCTCGTCTACTGCGTCCAAAAAAGTGGTCCGTCGATTTCCGCCCGGCAAAGTTGCGAAAGTGCCGCGTTTTAGCCGGCTGTGGACTTGGCGATTTTACGGCAGCAGAGGTGGACGTGTCGGGTGCTCCTTATGCTTCAGGTCGCTTGACTGCCTGCAGAAGCATCGGCAGCTGGGAGTTGTAACAATGCGACGACGACGGGGAAGCTCGCGTTCGCTTGCACTTTTTTTCGGTACTTCCATATTCTGTTGCAACTCAAGAAGGTAGGGCGAGGGTAAGACGGGCCGGCGAGGAGGAAGCAGACGGAACGCTAAAGAGAGACGGAGGTTTCCCCCTCTCTTCTTCAGCGTTCCGTCTGCTTTCTCCTCCCCGGCCCGTCTTGCTCTAACTTCTTGAGTTGCAACGGACTATAACGCCAACCGCCGGAATTGCGACGTCATTTGTCGCCATTTCGGAACCACTTTCGATGCCTGGATGGAAGAGGATGCTAAACACACCAGTTGGGGACGCGTTCCAGCCACCCTAGTTTGGGCGAATGTAGCTGCTCCGCAACAATCTTGCAGGCAGAGGGGGGACTGGCTGGCATTGCTTTCTGCTGGTGAAAGCCTGGGTGGCAAAAGGATGTCATCAAATGAAGTTGCAATGAAAAACAAATTTATAGCTATATTTCCGGCGCGAAATGAGTTTGTAGTTGGCACCTGCAGGAACTTTCGGAAAAGAGGCTACTATACCCGTTTTCACCTCAAGAACCATACTAAAAAAAGTTCGGCTCCTCGCGGAGCATTACTAATTTCCCTCGTTACGCTGAGAATTGACATATGTAGGTGTATTTTAGATTAGATATATGTTCTCTTATCAAGACGTACACGTTTCAAACGCCAAAAGCATCGCTTCTTCTCCGACGACCAAATTTTGTGAGAACTACTTCGCCCGGCGTAGGAACATGGAGCAAAACTTCCTTTTTCTTGAGGTGAAAATGGGTATAGGAGTCGCGTGATTGGCCACTTGTCACGTGGTAGACCTGTGCTCTGCTGCATCACCGCCGCCACTACAAGTTTACACCGGGTCTGTTCAGTGCCGCCGCTGACTTTTCCAGAATCCCCACACTGCAGCTGGCTGAACGCGTTTTTTTTTCTTCTTCTTTATAGGCAGAAAGGAATTTAAAATATTGTTTATTAATAAACAACCTTCAAAAAAAGTTCTATCCAAAAAAAGAAAGAAAAAAAACTGGTCATCATTATTATTTGGCAACTTTTCTCCTTGCCGCTGCCAGAAGGGAACACTTCCGCACCGCCGCCATCAATTTCTGATCTCCGCTCCGGTCTATTGCATGGTGCTTCCGCTCTTTCAAAAGCTTCCTTTGGGCTCTAAAAGTTACTTATTAATCTCCAATTCTTAAAACTAAGATTAACTTTGAGAGCCCATCTTAAAGAGCGCAAGTACCGCATGACTATTGCGGCCTGTCAGGTGACTCTGGTAGCCACTTTTCTTCGGGCATCAGTTACAAATTCGTTTCGTGCTGTAAATGTAACTTTAAATTGTTTAATTTTTTTTTTCATTTTAAATTTATTTTATGCCACCCCCTTTTTTTTATCAAGGCTGTTTAAAAAGAAATTGTTTTTTCCTTTGCATATGTCCTTTTAACACGATTGCTAGGGGTTCTGTCGTCCGATACTTCTTTTGAGGGCAAAAACCTTCCAAAAAAGAGGAAATAGACCCCTAATGGGTGTCGCCATACTCTTTCGTTTCTTTTCAGGAGGGCTCGTAGCTAGATGGGACATCGTCAAATTTCCACGTCGTCGTCGTCGCCGCGCCATACACGAAGGACTTCAACGCCGCCGCCGAGATTGGAGCGTGTGCCGGTTGTGTCGTCGTTTGTATCCCGGGTCCGTTCCGACTCGAGACCTGCTCCGGCCAGTCGGAGAAGTGGGGCAATCATCGGCGGCACTCGCCGCTCTCTCCTTTGCTATTCTGTCTGCCCCACACTTTGTTACTTTCCTCGCTCTACCCATTTCCGGCGGAGGAGCTCGCGCGCACAGCGTCGCCCGTCCATCGCCGGATTCCTGCCTCCGCCGCGTCCGGTGTTTCCCATCGAGGCACTGGTTGTTTGTGCGTGCCCCTCGACTCTTTTTCGCCCTTTTCGTCTTCTCCAGTCGCTTTGGGGAGGACGCCCCTCGTATATTTAGCTGCGACACGCCGCGTCTGCTCCCAATCCCCTCCCGAAACGTGCCGTCGAGTTTTTGGACGTCTTTTTTATGCGCCGCGCGCACGCAGACATATATTAGGACCGCGTTTTGCCGCGGAGCTGCGAGGAAAAAAGGGGCGGCATTTTGTGAGGAAGGGTGGCGCCCTGCGGTTGTGCTTAGCGTGGGGGAGTCGCAACAACGAACTGCGGGCAGAACGAAGTCTCGCCGCGGTTCCGAGCTTTTGGCGTCGGTCTGTTTGCCCCCCCCGGCGACGAGGCGCAGGCGTTTCGTTCCCCTTTTAGCGTCTCTGCCACGGCCGGTGCCTTTACGCCCGCTCCCCTTTTTTAGCCGCCGCCACTTCCCCGAGCGTAGGCTTCGGCTCGATTTAACGACTTTTTAACGAGCTCTCTTTACGGGGCCGCCGCGGTTTTTAAGCTTTGGATCGAGTAGTTTTCAGTTTACGTTTTGGAAACTGGGTCCTTGATGTTTTTTTTCGTTTCGTACGTCTTTCTTTGGTTCCGGAGGTCCGCGCTTTAACCCTAGTTTACCCTGTTTTGCCTGCAACAGGCTGCCCAATGTTACACAGTTTCACCTTGTCTACCTCCTCATTTTTCTCGCCCCTCCCCACGAGACGACTTAGGAAGGACGACAACGCTTCGTACCGTGCCATTTCCGACCGCCACAATGTCGCATAGGGGTCGACGGTTTGAGCGGGTCGGTTTTACCGGACGGCGGGGCCGCCACCCGCCAAGCCCCGCGCCTTGCGAGCGAGACTTGCATTTGTTGTTGCGAGCACAGGCCGGCCTCCAGCCCCGCGTTTTTAATACCGGGGCCGGTCTTTGGATTATGCAATTTGCATCGTTGCGTTTCTGGGTGTCCCCGCGTTTCGGAACATCTTTCCGTGGCTGCGCCGCGACGTTTGAAGGAGCGTTGCGCTGTGCCTGTTTGAGAAGCGCGGTGCGTTGTCTTCTCTTTTTTTTTTGTGACCCTCTTCATCTCTCTTCTTGGTGTTTTGGTCTTTTTTGGTGTGTGCGTGAATCCCATAAGATAAACCTTTCCCTCTTTTTTTTTTTTTTTGGTAACGTTGATTGCGAGGCGATTTCACAAGATAGTTGTCCCTAACATTTTTTTTGTGAGTGTTTCGTGTTTTACCTAATCTAAGAAATCACAGTTCAAGTTTCAGATCTATACATGATTTTGCTAATAAAGGGCGGGAAAAAGTTTCTAACTCTGCGGACGTGAGCGTTTTCTTCCTTCTTGCGGGTGGATTGCCGCCGTTTCAAGTTCGCAGCTTCCTGTGTACGTTTGTGACTGTCCGACGCTAGACTCAAAAGCGTTGTTCAAGGTGCGACCAACCGACCACCTCGTCTGCCATAGTTGCACCACTACGACTGCGGTGCAGCTGGCATGGAGCACTGGTTCGACACAGTTGTCTCGAACAGTCGTAGTTGTCATGTTGTTCAGCTCGCTGACCAATGCCGAGAATTACTGTATTCCCTCGCAAGATAAGTTGAGGCACACGACACCTTTTTTTTTCTACAGAAACTATGTGCAAAGGCTCCGAATGCAGCATCGCTTACTAGTGCGGCCGTTTGGGGTCGTTTAGAGCAGCAAGGGCAATGTGTTCAGGTCCTACTTCGTGAAAACATTTGTGCGTCTTTTGTGGGAGCCACATGTGCAATCCAAGTGTGTTTTTTTTTTTTTGTTTCAGAAGGTGTACGTTTGGAGTGTCTGAATGGCTTCTTCTCATGCAAAGCCAGGCTTTGGGAAGTAATTATTGATGCTTGGAAATGCACTGTACTTGCTTGTTCCATTAGACCCTTATGCCGCATACTCGTACTAAGAATGTCGGGATGGGAGCGTGCCTGTCCACCTAGCTCTATCGCGGTTAGGGAGCGTTTCTACAGTACCCTAGGCAAACGTTGGTGTAATATGCTTGCACCGACTTTCGAGTTTAACAAGGTGCTTTGTTGGTGCTGCAAAGCTTGTCACTGAAACGCCCTAACATTTTTCAGATGATGGTACGAGAAAGTGTGGGCCTTGGCCATTAGGGTATATGATATCTATATAGATATATATGCACATGCACTCACTTACACAAACATGCCTACACACACCTCACTCTCACACTCGCTTACACACTCACTCTCACTCACTCACTCACACGCTCACTCACTCGCACACACTTGACAGTAAACGACTTCATTTTTGCGAGGTTCCATGAACAATTCTGGTAAAGGCTAAACACATTGGAATCAATATTGAGATCCCATAGCGTCGCGAAAATTAGAACCTGCGAATTATTCCAAAACTCACTCCTTTGGCCAAAATCGCTAACTTTGAGCTCGCGAAAAGTAAGTCGTTTATATATATATAGTGATCATTCAGATAAAGTCCTTTTGGCGCTCGCCTGAGTAGCCTCAGCCGACAGTATCTGCTGTCCAGAAGAACACCACTGAGGAGAGAAAAAAAAAAGGTGTCTTGGGGGGGGGGGATCCGTGCCTGTGCATTTCCCGCTCTAAGCATCTTCTCCGACTTTGATGGACACTGGCTTGAACACCACGCCAGATATCTCTCCGTTTTATATAAAACTTGTTGCCACTGTTGTGGCACGAAACCAGGGTCAATGACAAACATATAAAATAGCGCAACAGAAAGACGGGGACAAGAAGTATACAGGACAGGCGTTTAGTGAATCAGCTTTGTGTCTGGTCAGCCATATCGCCTTTGCTACTTGTCGTGCAAGACTCGTCTCGTTTTGCTTGAGGAAAGGACTGGTACACGCGGAAGTATCTATGTTTTTTGGATTCGTCAGACCGTCCTTTCGCCACGTCAAGCGGATTTCCAAGATACTGAGGTCTGAACTCTGGCGCCAAGTCCGGCTCTTCTATGACCTGTTGCGTGTCCTGTGCTACACATATTACACTGACTGTGTGGCTAAGGGCAACTTTCGTTCATTTCGACGTCTAGCCGCGCAAACTACAGAGTTTTGGTGGCATTGCACCCTTCTTCGAGTGCCCAGGACAGCTGAGAAAAAGGCAACAGCCCCGGATGGTTTGATCGTGCTGGGCGACACCAGCATTCCAGCTCAAGTATCCTCTGCCCTCAAGAAAGGACCGAAATCCAGCACCGAGCCAAAGATCCCAGCCCATGAGCTTCTTGCTCTTAATCGCCGAATGTCCAACAAGGCGGAGCAGGAAGACCGTGAACAATGTCTTCTTGATGGTGCTGACTGTCTTCTGCGAACGATGACCAGGAGTTCTCGCCGAGGCAGGGAATCGACCGACAGTGTGGTGGCTTTTTTCAAGGAAAAAGGTCTTCGACTCTTACAAGCGGACAAAGAGGGCGGCTTCGTTGTTATGCCGTCTGATATTTTCAGGACTGTGCAGAAAAGGCCGTCATGAAGAACTTTGCCCTGGCTGACGTCAAACCGCTAAAGGTAAAGAAAACTGCCGTTTCTTTGTGTAAGAGCCTAGAGCTGCAAAAACTGGCAAAAGCTGTCGGCGATTCGAAAAACGTTACTTTAAAGGCTTTTTTTTAATGTAAAGACGCATAAGGAGGGTTCTCCGTTCCAAAGTATTGTTAGTGAGAAAGGTACTTGGCAACAGGAGGTCAGCAAATATCTGCTAAAACACCTTAATGGGCTTGCTATGAATGACCCCTTCGCAACCAGGAACTCTGACGTGATTGAAGAATTAAGAAGTAACAAGTCTGTTGGTTATGCTTTTTCTATTGAACTATTTTATATGTTTTACTAAGATGACCCAACTAGCCCAACAACGTACCCTACTAATCAATGATGAAGCAGTGTAAGTAATGCGTAGCGCAAGTGACAAGTTCATCACGTGGCGCACGCAGAAAACAGCTTTGAAAACAAGCGTGTCTCCCATAGAGAAGCCTTGGAAACCGGGCCTGCAACAGGTGCCTATGTCGAGGTGTCGTCTGGTGGCGACGCTTGCAGCCAAGGTGAGAAGGGCTCTTTCTGGTAACTGCAACTCGCACGGTGCGGTGCTCCAGTACGACGTCCGAGCAAACTTCCGGTTCGTAAAAAGAATGAACAAAGCTCACTTAAGCACCACTGCTTGAAACGTCGATGAAGCATTTAACCACCAGTTCTCCTGGCGAACACCAAAAGAACCAAGAAGCGCGAGATCTGTTCACAAAGTTTGGAAATATTCTTGGAAGCCAACTTATCTCCTCCATAACCCAAAATCGTGCAGCCGAAGGCCCTCTCTAAATCTCTAACTTCATTGTCCGTGTAGCATTTATGGTTTTTAGCACTGCTGACATGAGCAAGCACGACAGACGGAAGCTTGCAAAGACGGAGGGACTGGAAGTCTCTTGGGATGCAAGCAGCAGTTCCATATTTTTAAACTGATGAAAGTACTGCGCCATTTGTGCCATGAACGAAAGTTTGCTAGATCTTGCGCCAAGATGCCATTTTTGGTAAAAATTGTACCACACCTGCGCCAAAATAAGCTTCAAGCAAAAAAAGAAAAACTACAAATATGAATTCAGGAGCGTCTCTACTCGCAGTATAGCTTGTTTCGTCTGAGGTCGGAGCACAGTCGAAGGCTCTGGCACATACAGGGTGTCACAAATGAAAATTTACACGGTCTTTTTTACCGCAAAAATAAACTAGGCATCGCCGAACGCTGATTCTCCGCCCAAAGGTAGAGCTAGAGGTCACAACCAGATGCCAAAGTTTCAGCCCGATCCAAAAGTTATAAGTGATTTTCTGAAAATTTCAATGGGAAAATGGAGCCCAATTTTGCTCGTTTTCGGTTTCTGGTGCCATAGAGCCCCATATGTTTGAAAACCCCGTCGGCCGCCATTTTTCCATTGAAATTTTCAGAAAATCACTTGTAACTTTTGATTAAGTTATCGGATCGGGCTGAAACTTTGGCATCTGGTTGTGACCTCTAACTCTACCTTTGGGCGGAGAATGAGCGTTCGGCGATGCTTAGTTTATTTTTGCGGTTAAAAAGACCGTGTAAATTTTCTTTTTGTGACACCCTGTACAACCACAAACAATTGATGTTGGGCATCAACTTCTTTGGCCGGTTGATGCACTGGCTGGTTGATGGGTGACATCGTCTAAATTTACAGACAGTCCTTTTGTTAAAACACGCGAGACTGCGTGTGAAAAAACTTGGAAACCACAACAAGTAGAAGAGACAAAGAAACAAGTCAGTCGGATGACGACTTCATATGTCGTCCAATTTCCTTCCCTGTCTCTCTTGGTTTCAAGTTTTTTCGCACCCAGTCTCGGCTGTTCTAGCAAAATGGTAAAATTGCACCATCTCGCCTGCGTCCTCATTGTGCTTACAGTCGATGTCGAGAACTCTTGAGAAAAATTTGCAAAATAGTAAGATTGCCGATTACGGCTACTGTGATAAAACAGAACCAGGGTCTTGTACTCCTGATCGAGTCACCCGATTATCGCGTCTGCCATGTGCCTTAGTTCCGTGGCTGCAAAGTACGTGGAACTTTGTGCTCCCTCGCTGCTCATGACCAACGTGCGCGCGTAGAGCTTCGCCGCTTTGCACCGGAATGCTAGGAGCAGCGACTGACCTGGGGGAGTGCTTGGCTTAGCGCCGCAATAGGCACGCAAATTATGCTAAGGATTATTAGAGGTCAAACTTCTTTGTCTTCAATTAAAATTAATATCTAATTTAAAAAAAAGCAGAGAAAGAGACAAAGGGTCTATATATATTTGAATAAATACGGTCGCTGTAGTTCCCGTGCAGCTGTCGATCGAATGAGCGGCGAACTCTGACGTAACTCTGGTTGCTGAAGAGTCGCCTTTAAGATGGGGTGAGACTTTGTTTGGTCAAAATTCCTGTTTTTAAATTTTGCTTTTCTTTTTTTTTTTTTTTTTTTTTTATAGCCTTAGCTTTTAAACCATATATAACATGTGGGGATTAGTGATGCGGAAAATGCTTCTTGATGCCTTCTTTCGTTTTCTGTGTAAGCAAAACGGTGGGCGTGGTCTCACGAAAACTCCACAAATGTTTCGTTTCACACCGAAAATCTCGTTTTGTGTGTACAAAAGTTTCGGTTTCAGTTTCACGGTTTTTTTCTTGTAGGTAGTACATTTTCCAGTCACTGGGGGTTTCTTGTAGCGCGTTTGAACGAAGTTGGCGGTAGACACGTTCAAGCGTTTAGTTTGAGCTTCGAAGCGTATTTGATGCAACTGTGAACATCGTACTGCCGTGTTTTCTTTGA